GAATGATTCACCCTTTCTTCTCCTGCCTCTTCCATAATTGAAATAGCCTCTTCCAAGCCACATTTAGCTCTATGTTCAGGACACAACATGTCCCGAGTGTTTGTATTTGTCTTTTCCCCCACCGCAGACATAAATGCTTTTTCAGAGGGACTTTTAAATCCTCGGAGAAGCAGGGGAGGAAAGAGTCAACCATCCTCTGCCCTTTCCTGCTTTTCAAAGCCACCATTGGGGGCAGCTAATTAGCTTTTAGCAGAACGTGAGTCTATTGAATTTGCTGAATCATATGTAAAAGAAAATTATGCTAAAGGAATAAGGAAATCAAAATCTGGAAGTCAGAGAATCCAGTTCTGGCAGTCCAGGAAGTAAGGAAATCCAAACGAGGAAGTCTGAGAAAGGGATTTGAAGGATCAGGAATGTTACCTCTGTGCCAAGCCACAATGTTGCTTAGAACGGAACAGATGACTACCTTAGTTTATGCCAGAGGTCCCCAATGTGGTGACCATGGGTGCCATGGCATCCACCAACACCTTTCCTGGTGCTTGCCAAGTGTTTTTAGTAAAGAGGGGGCAGGTGGGGCTTTTGTCCTGTAGGGCTTTTGATTGGCTACTGGAGAGTTGATTGGCTGTGCAGATATTTTAAAATGTTGCATCCACCACAGCAGAAGGATCTTCACTGTGTGACTGAAGATAAGCTGTGGCAGCCATTTTGTGGCAGGCATGGCCTCTTGTGGCAGCCAACTTCTGTCAGCCATTTTGTGACTACTCCCACCATGTTGGGTCAGAATTTCAAAGGAGCCTGCAGGATGAAAAAGTTTGGGGACCCTGGTTTATGCCCATCCTATTCAAACCCTTTTCCTGCAGCCCACTATGTCCAGCTCCTTAAGCTCCCTCTTCTTCATCTCTGAATTGACATCTGCACCAGTCAAGGTAGATTCTCAGTTATTGGATAAAACACAAGAAGATGCAGACACTTGTGAACACAAGAAGAGCCCTGCTGGTTCAGACCAATGGTCCATCTATTCCAGCATCCTGTCTCACACAGTGGCCAACCAGTTCCTCTGGAGGGCCAACAACAGGGCATAGAGGCCGAGGCCTTCCCCCAATATTGCCTCTTGGCACTGGTATTCTCTTCCATCCTTGTCTCCCTCATTCACATCCTGTTCATCCACCAGGTTCTTGTCTCCATAAAGATTCTTGCATCCTATCTCTAGTTTTGACTTCAGGTACCCAGCTGACTTTAAAGTCTGAGATAAGAGAAAAGAGACGAAGCAGGAGAGGGAGAAGAAAAGAACACTAATTGGCTGGTCTCACGCATGTATATATAAGTCCTCTTTTGTAACCATAGTAACAGTATTGAATGGCTGTCCTGCGCCACAATATCAGCCTATGTTCCTCCTGTTTCTCGGCAATGGAGTCAGCTCTCCATGAATGCACAGATTTACTAAATGGAGACAATGCAACCCTAAACAGAGTTACACCTTTGTAAATCCATTGTAGCCAATTGCCTTGAAAGGGTATAATTCTGTGCAAGACTCTACCACAAAATTTCAAAAGATTTAAACCCTCAACAGTGGCCTGCAACCAGGACAAAACCACTCTGCCCTGAAATTGCTCATGCAAGCACACTTTCCCCCCAGAAGGTTTACCAGGGGAGGGGGAGAGTGCTATGTAATGCTCAGTGTCAGGCTAGGATCAGCAACAACCAGTTTCAATTCTCACTTTGCCACAACATTTGCTGGGTGACCTAGAGCTTGTCTCACTCTCATAGCACGTACCTCACAAGATTTGGGTGATAAAATGGAGGAGGGGAGATGTATACCACCCTAAGGGGGAAGAAGAAAGTAGTGTGGAACAATGCTCCTTCTAAGCTGTGGATTCTTGCGAACAAAAATTCTACTTTGTGAGCTACAGGTATTAAAGTTCTGAGCGAGCAATTTGGCTACTGCATAAATTAATTTGCTCTGGAGCCATCCTTCCTGAGCTAAGACAAAAATGTGTGAGCCAGAGGCTAAAAAACTGTGAGCTAGCTCACACTAATTCAGCTTAGAGGGAACACTGGGAACTATTTTGTAAGTGCGTCACCCTAAGTACAGTAAGTTTAGGAGTGGCTCTCATTTTTCAAGAATTGAAAAACTACTGCGTGAGGGAAAATCATAGAGTTTTCCCTCGGATGACCGCAGCCCCGCCCCCGGCGTGCCCGGCGTGGCTGCGTCACTTCCGGGTGATGTGCTGACGCTGGGCACGTCCTGTGCTTTGGGGGTGGGGTTCCCCCTGGGGCCCAATCTGCCGGCGGCGGGAACGGGCCTCTGGGGCGGGGGTTTCCCCGTCCCCCTGGGGGGACTTGGCAAGCCTAGTGTATGTGCCATCAAGTTGCAGCCAACATACGGTGACCCCAGTTCGGGACTTTCGAGGCAAGTTAGAAGCAGAGGTTGTTTGCCATCGTCTTCCTCTGCAGAGCCTTCCTTGGTGGTCTCCCTTCCAAATACTGACCCTGATTAGCTTCCGAGATCTGATGAGCTTGTGCTATACCTTACAATTCCACTGCACCACTAAGTATATCCCTTTGCTGTTCTCTATGTAGGGGAATTGTTGCTGTTCCTTCTAATAGAGAACTGTCAAGGACTTGGACTTGGGGGACAGTTTCAGTAAGACAAAGCCCTCCCTGGTAATGCCTTTGTTTATATATGTGTGTTTGTGTAACATCCAGGGCTTGCAAAGATGCACACCACCCTCACAGCAGTCCTCTCAGGCTTCATAACAACATGTTTTGGCATTAATTCTGTAAGTGCCAATCCATTGTATTTGAAAATACAGAAACTCTTGACTTACACAAAACCCTGGGACATTTTGAACCTAACAGATCACATCTGCAGGGTGGCTTTTGAATGCAATGGGTGCCATTCATGTGCAAATGTCTTGAGCGACTCGGTGATACATGTCACTTCAAAGGGCAGACTGCAATGGTCCTGTTTAGGAATTGACCCTTGGCTCCCAAGTCATATTTTCTGAATTGGCACATTTGTACAACCCATTTTTCAGAATAGGTCTCCATAAAAATGCTGCAAATTCCAGATAGGGCAAAAAGTACTAGCATTAAACAGCACATCAATTCATTATTTCCAATGCCAGCCTTTCTAAGTAGTTCCCTCCTATAAATCTTGCTGCCAAGGCTAGATTTGCCAACTCTGAGCTGGAAAATTCCTAGAGATTTGAGGGGTGAAGCCTGGGGAAGAACCTCAGTGGGGTACAATGCCAACCTCCAAAGCAGCCATTTTCTCCAGGGGAACTGATCTTTGTCATATGGAGAGCGTCTGTAATTCTGGGAGATCTCCAGGCCCCACCTGGAGGTTGGCAACCTTAATGTGGTGTTTCGCTATGAAAATATTTTGTGTGTTTCATTTCTGTGATTTAATGTGAGGTTTTATATGTAGGTTGCTGTGGTTTAAAATGCTGAGCTCTAAAGAAAGAGGGTGGCTGGATGGGTGATTGAAGTGCATTATGATTGCATTATGATTGGACGATGGGGGCGGAGTTGACTGGTTTGTGGAGGGGGCCTGTGTGTTAGAGAGGAAGGAGATGTTGAGTGGGTGAAGAGATTGAGTGAAGTGCTGTGGAAAGTGAGAGAAATCTGTGTTCTTTGAGGAAAGTTGTTAGCCTAAGTGGCAAGTGAGAAAAATAAGCCTTTGTGTCTAAGTATATTTAAGGAACTTTAAAGAAAGGAGAACTGTACCTGAAACTATTACACCGATACGCTTCTAAATAAACTCTATTCATGCTTAAGCAAAAACTACAGCTGTTCTATTTAAAGGATCTCTTTTTACCTCAGAGACATTCCCATGCACTGACCATTCAGTGATTCTACTAAATACGACTATCCTGTTCTTTGTGTTCAGCTGAGAAGTCTAAGGTGTGAGCCTTAGGTAGCAGTGAAAATAAGTAGGAAACACTAAGGAAGGCAAGGAGGCAGCATATGGTTGCCAGGTCTGAGCTGGGAAATACCTGGATATTTTTTTGGGGGGGAGCCTGAGGAGGGCGGGTTTGGGGGAGGGGAGGGACATCAATGAGCTGTAATTCCTTAGAGTTCCAAAGCAGCCATTTTCTCCAGATGATCTCTGTCGCCTGAAGATCAGTTGTAATCCCAGGAGATATCCAGCTACCACCTGGAGGTTAGCACCCCGAAGGCAACATACCACACCATCTCAGAATGGTACAGAGAGGTGCTATACATAAGGAGTCACAGAGAAGAAGCAAAATGTTACACCTAGCTAAGGATGGGACTTCATCCTTGACCATATTTTTATCCCCTTCTATAAATACCAACAGAAAGATGAGAGCAATGAGAGAATGTGAATAAGTCCTATCCTACTAGGGAAAGCTTTTAGGTCAAACGCCACAATCCTGTAATGGAATGATCACCAGCCCTCCATTGCTTCCTCTCATACATACTGCTGCAGTGATTCCAAATGTGATGGTCATAGGCAACATGGTGTGTCCACTGCTGACATTTCTGGTGCCCACTAGCTTTCTTGTGCAAAGCAACTCTTCTCCAAAGCACAGAACAAATTCCGGCACTCCTCTGCCTCACTGAAGCTTTAGAATATACCAGCAGGCTTCAACTGTGGTTCCACTCAGCAATACCTACTTGCATCTTAGGAAGATGCTTAACTTGGGGCCTTCCAAAATTCTGTAATTGCCCCCCTCAGGTTGTGATTGTTTCTGACACCTGTAGCAGCATTTTGCAGTGGCACCCACTACACTTTCTCAAAACTCTGAAAGTGCCCACAAGGTTGAATACTCCACATCAAGGCTGGGTACTCCAGGACAATGCTGAGACATGCACCCAAGTGGTTTGCCCTCAGTTACATTCAGAGACTGGCTGAAGAGGTTATTCTGTGGCCACCCTATTGGCCAGCTCCATTCACTCCATACACAAGACCCTGTTAGAACAAACTGTCCCTCTGCCACACACAAACACCCCCTAGGTAAGTCGCCAACACTCACCATCTTCGTCAGTCTGGAAGATCATCTCTTTGCCTTCTTTCCGCCCTTCGGGATTGGAGAGGATGAGTTTGACGTGGACGTTTTTGTAAGGCTGCAGGTTCTTGATGGTGTAGTGGTTGACATTGCGCTCCATCTTCACACATTCCCGGAAGGTCTGGTTGTGGCCCGTCCCCAAGGCGTAGCGATAGCAGAGGGTGACAGTGTATGTGTGACACCTTGTCAGGTTGTAGCCCAGGGGCTCCCACTGCAGCGTCAGTTGCCGAGACTGGATGTCAGCAAAGGCGAGGCCTTTGGGGGCCCTCATTGGCTCTGCCGAAGGAAGGGAGAGAACCAATGAGTGACACAAGGAGAGGCCCTACTTATTTCATTTCCTTACTTCATTTGTAGTCCGCCTTTCTCACTGAGGTTTGAGGTAGATTACTGAGTTAGAAAAAACAACAACAATGCAGTAAAGACCAGTAGAATAGATATAACGAACAGTGCAATAAAACTGAATTACAATTGAAAACAAGAAAACAAAGAGTTTAATCCATTCAATAAACAATACGGGCGTGTCTAAATGTTTCATACATTAAAACTACAATCCTATCTAAATGAGTAGATAAAACCCATGAACAATGATAAATCAAAAGTTCAGGAATGAGTCAAGCACCAGCTGCTCAGCCTAGGAGTGTAACCGGAACACAATCCTATCCCTTTTCTGAACATTTCACTGTCACTTGAGAGCCAGCGTGGTGTAGTGGTTAAGAGCGGCAGACTCTAATCTGGAGAACCAGGTTTGATTCCCCACTCCTCCACATGCAACCAGCTGGGTGACCTTGGGTCAGTCACGGTTCTCTCAGAGCTGTTCTCTCAAGAGCATTTATCTCAGAGCTCTCTGAGCCCTACCTACCTCATGGGGTGTCTGTTGTGGGGAGAGAAAGGGAAGGAGATTGTAAGCCACTTTGAGACACATAAGGCCTGCTAGGTGACCATGGGCCAGTCACAGTTCTCTCAGAGCTCTCTCAGCCCCACCAACCTCACAGGGTGTCTCTTATGGAGAGAGGAAGGGAAGGCGATTGTAAGCTGCTCCAAGACTCCTTCGGGTAGTGAAGGGTAGGGTATAAAAACCAACTCTTATTATTATTATTTTTAAAAATGCAATCCCATCCAGGAGATGCCTCTCTTTATTGATTGATACCCTGCTTTTCTCCCCAAAATAGCATATGACTTCATTCTCCCCACTTTCATTGTACCTTCACAACATGAGGTGAGTGAGAAAAGGAGAGTGACTAAGATCACCCATCGAGCTTCCACGGCAGAGTAGAGATTCAGACATGGGTCTCCCAGATCCTGTTCCCAAAGTCTAACCTGGGGTCCCCAATATAGTGCCTGAGGGTGCCATAGCGCCTGCCAATGCTTTCCTGGTGCCCACCAAGTGGCTTTTTGGAAATGGGTGGGATCAGGCAGGGCTTTCCCCTAGCAAAGCTTCTGACTGGCCTTTGGATATTTGATTGGCTTAGGGTTGCCAAGTTCTTTTTCTTACGCGGTGGGGGGCTCCCGGACGGTGACTTGAGTGCGCGCGTGCGCGTCGCATGCACGTCAGCCGGAGGTGACGTGATGACGCCGGGCACGCTGGGGGCGGGGCCACAGCCATCTGAGGGGAAAACTCAGATGGCCTCAGATGGCCGTGGCCCCGCCCCCAGCGTGCCCGGCGTCATCACGTCACCTCCGGCTGACGTGCATGCCGCGGCGGTGGAAATCGGGCCTCCAAAGCAGGGGAAAATCCGCCCCCCGGGGGGACTTGGCAGCCCTAGATTGGCTGTACAGATTTTTAAATTGTTGCCTTCGTAGCAGCTGCCACTATATCACAAGGATCTTCACTGTGGGATCGAAGGGAAGCTGTAACAGCCATTTTCTGGCCAGTTCCACCACCTGCGGCAGCCATTTTGTGGCAGCTATACTGTGCTATGCTCACCATGCTGCGTCAGAATTCCAAAAGTGCTCACAGGCTGAAAAAGGTTGGGGACCCCGGTCTAATCACTGCACACCTCTATAGAAGCAAAATGTCTTCCTCACATGATGAATGGGACCTTTGGAACTGAGGAAATCATGTTTGTCCCAGGGGCAATCCCAGGGCCTAAATTTGCCAACCCATATATTAAGCAGTCCAAGTGTATTGTTAGGGTAGGTCAAAAGGGAAGGCTGGGCAAAAGGGAAGGCAAAAGAGCAACAATGGGGGGCTTGGAACTGCATCAGAGCCTCAGGTGGGAAACACACCAAATGCTGACCTAGCTCAGTGCCCCTTCTTCTTGGACTGCATCAGGATTGCTCCTCCCAATGGCAGCAGCCCAGGAGCCTTTGGGTCAGGCACAGCTATGGAAGGGGCTCCATCTCAGTAGCTGACCATCAGCTATGTATGAAGACGTTCCACTGTTAGCTGCAGTTCCTAGCATCCCCAGTTCAAAGGCCCTCAGACAAGAGCAAGCCTGGTGTTTTGCTCAGAGTGGTACACTAGGACCTGGGAGACCTGAGTCCAAATCCCCACTCAACCATGAAGCTCATCGGGTGACCTTGGGCCAGTTGCTTTCTCACAGATTAACCTACCACACAGGTTTGCTGTGGGGGCAATATGGAAGAAGGGAGAAGAACATACACCATATCCTGAGTTCCCTGGAGGAAGGGTAGGGTTAAAGCGTGGTCAATAGATGGCAGAGCCAAGAACAAGCCCCGCTTGACAGCTTGGAGAGCAACTGCCAGTCCTAATAAACAATACTGGGCTTACGGACGATTGTTCTGTCTCAGGTTAAGGCCATTCCACAGTTCACACGCACACAATAAGGCTCCACTTCAGACATCTACCTAACATTCTGTTCTGTGGACAGTCCACAGGGGACTTTAACAGCTGTCACCTTATACTGAATTGCAAAGTTTTTTCCCCAGACTTCCAAAACATAATTTCCATTCATGTTTTTTGACACTGCATGCTATTCTTGAATACTGATGCAAGGTTACTTTGACATACTTCTACTGCATGATGCAAATCCTTCCCCAAGTAGTCTTGACGGGGCCAGTTTCTTTTGGAGTAGACAATCCTGAAGACTCTTCAGAGTCTTTGTGATCTTAATGGTGTCTTGGTTCTTATTTGCTTCTTAAAAGGTAAAGGTTCCCTTGCTCGAAAGCCAGTCGAATCCGACTCTAGGGTTGCGGTGCTCATCTCCGTTTCAAAGCCGAAGAGCCAGCGCTGTCCGAAGACGTTTCCGTGGTCATGTGGCCGGCATGACTAAACACCAAGGCGCACGGAACGCTGTTACCTTCCCACCGAAGTGGTCCCTATTTATCTACTTGCAATTTCTTGCTTTCGAACTGCTAGGTTGGCAGGAGCTGGAACTAGAGACAGGAGCTCACCCTGTCTTGCGGCACCCGGGTCTTGAACCGCTGAACTACTGACCTTCCACAGCCTGCAGTTCAGCGTCTTAACCACTTGAGCCACCGAAGCTCCATTATTTGCTTCTTGCTGCAGCCTGAATAGCCTGGATTAGCCTGAGCCTTTCAGAATTTGGAAGCTAATCAGGGTTGGTCATAGTTCATATTTGGATGGGTGACCACCAAGGAAGTTGAGGGTTACTATGCAGAGACATGCCATGGCAAACAGTGTTCCCTCTAGGCTGAATTAATGTGAGCTAGCTCACAGTTTTTTAGCCTCTGGCTCACACATTTTTGTCTTAGCTCAGGAAGGATGGCTCCAGAGCAAACTAATTTATATAGTAGCCAAATCACTCACTCACAACTTTAATGCCAGTAGCTCACAAAGTAGAATTTTTGCTCACAACAATCCACAGCTGAGAAGGAGCATTGATAGCAAACCACTTCCGTTTGTCTCTTGCCTTGAAAACCCCATCAGGGGTCACCATAAGTCATTTGCAACTTGATAGCACTTCATTATTATTCATTGTTTGTTTATTAATATGTAGGCTGGGGAGATACCAGCTTGTACCCTACCACTCTGTTCACTGAAGTTTGCAGAAGGTCCCAGGTTCAGTCCCTGACTTCCGCAGTTAAAAGGATCAGGAGAGCCAGTATGGTGTAGTGGTTAAGAACAGCGGACTCTAATATGGAGAACTAGGTTTGATTCCCCACTCCTCCGCATGAAGCCTGCTGGGTGACCTTGGGCCAGTCACAGTTCTCTCAGAATTCTCTCAACCTCACCTACCTCACAAGCAGTGTTCCCTCTAAGATGAGTTAGTGTGAGCCAGCTCACAGTTTTTGAGCTTCCGGCTCACACATTTTTGTCTCCGCTCAGAAAGGAGGGATCCAGAGCAAACTAATTTATGCAACAGCCGAATTGCTTGCTCACAACTTTAATGCTAGTAGCTCACAAAGTAGAATTTTTGCTCACAAGACTCCACAGCTTAGAGGGAACATTGCTCACAAGGCGCCTGTTGTGGGGAGAGGAAGGGAAGGCAATTGTAAGCCACTTTGAGACTACTTAGGGTAAAGAAAAGCAGGGTATGAAAACCAATTCGTCTAGTAGGTGATGTGAAAGACCTAAGACCCTGGATAGCCACTGACAGTCAGAGTAGACAATCCTAACACTGACGGACCAAAAGTCTGATTCAGTAAAAGGCTAATTAAATTATTTATTATTTATTAAATTAGACTTATTTGGCCACCCTTCCCTGCGAGCAGGGCTCCAGGTGGCTTATATCAATAAAAATACAATAACACTAGACTTAAAACAGCATTAAATTCAACAACCACAGTAAAACAGTACAATCCAAGATGGAGATAAATGTCCAATACCTGCTCACTTCCCTGGTTAAGTAAAATGCAGAGCAGTGGGAGGGGGAGCAGGAGGTGAAAGTGCCAGGCCATCGCTATCCTCAACTGAATGCCTGGTGGAACATCTCTGCCTTGCAAGCCCTACAGAATGGTAGCAGATTCTGTGGGGTGCAGATGTCATCAGGCAGAGAGTTCCACCAGGTAGGGGCCAGGGCTGAAAAGGCCCTGGCCCTGGTCAAGGACAGCTGGATCTCTCTCGGGCCCGGGACCACTAGGAGGTTCTTATTCCCAGATCATAATGCTCTTCCCAGGGCATATTCAGTTTCATAGTCTCCTTCAAACCTGCAAGGTGAGTGTAGCATACTATTTGCCAAGCAGGCCTGTCCAAAGAACAGCCATATTGCCCATCCATGAGCACTCTCACTGACTCACAATGGTCACAATGACAAAACTGCTGTCTACAGAAAAGAGTTCCCGCCCATGGTTGAAGAGAGCTGCTTGGGAGAGAAGCTTTTAACTGGCTCCAGTTTCAACACCAACATAATCAG